TCAGTAGTAGTGCTTTGAGCTCATAGATCAACCGAGTCGAGAGCTGCACTTTAGTACTTTGCCGTGAAGCTGTCTTCACCGTTATAACCTGGTAACCTGAAGGCTGGGTTGTTAATCGTGTCGTAGTTTTTCGACGACTGTAACGCATCTGTGTAGTACTGACGAATAAATTGATTTTTTTTTTTAAATCTTCATCAAGACACATCTTTATTCATGATGATGTGTTTTGATTCTTCATTAAGCATTGTCATCAATCACTCCAAATCCACGAACCTGTAGAACGCAACAATAAATATAAACAATATTGAATACATATGGATCGCGTTTATGTGCATGACTGCTATTGAATGAAACAGAACTATATTGAATAGATTTAGGATGTCAGTTAAATGAAAAATTTACAAGCTTTGTATTCTTGCACGCCAGGTCGCATGATTCGTCCAAGGTAGGACGTCGGTTTAATCAATAAATTTATTCGCCAGCCAAGATTTGGTAAAAATTTTATATTTTGCTGTATCTATCTGCTTATTTATTTATCCCTATTGAGATAATATCTTATTTTACATCATTCAGTCACTAGTTGGCAAGATGGATGTAGTACAAGCTGCGCAGTTCCAGCTAATTAGATGGAATTGCTAAATAAATGTGCTTGTCGTTAAATCTATGCTACATCAGTACCATTTGAAATTATGTAAAACGTTTGAGTCTTGGTTCGTAAGTTTATTTTGTGGAATTAAAGTTGTAAATAAAATTTTAAATGTAATTTTAATTAAGAGATTAAAATGTAAGCGATGTGCTTAACAAATGGTAAAAGAAAAGTACAGAAGAAAGATGTTTTTTTCCAAGATAAATGGGAAGTTAGTGTAGTTGTAGCATTCTGAAAAGCAGTTGATAAGAAAACTGAAATCACAGGGATAGCACAACTTGTCGTTTTCGTACGGTTTTGGCGTGTTACTGATGAGTGTAAAATAATAGAGGAATTACTGGAAACAATTCCACTGGAAAGGAAAAACTGCTGCACAGAATACTTTTTTTCCCTGAAAAAAAAAGCTTTAATAAATAAATATAAATTAATTGAGTAAAATGATTGGATTTGCAAGTGACGGTACAGTTGCTATGGTTGGTAAAAAATGGAGCAGATGTAAAATTTAGAAACATACTGAAAGAAGAAAATTTTCAGAATATTTTTTGCGCTATACATTTCATTATTTATCAAGAAGCTCTCTGTGCCAAAAGTGTGCAGATATATCATAATGTAGGAAAGTACGTATACGTTATCCGGGGACAAGTTCAGCATCATCGAGAATTTGTTATAATGCTTGAAGAAACTGAAAGTGACTAAAGAGAAAATAATTTGAAATTAACAAACATTCTCTATACGTAAAAAGGAAATTAAAGTTAATAAATTTAAATGAAATTTAATGCAAATAAATAAATGATTAATTATTGTTGCGAACTAATCTAAAATATCATTTAAATTGAGAGCATATGTAAATCAAGTGCAAGTATCAGAATTCATTAATAAATACAAAATCCCTAAAATTATTTAATCCTAAAAATTATTTATATAAATGCATAAGTGACTGATTGTTGAGCAGACAGGAGACAGACTTATCAAGGGGAAGTTGCCTCCAAACCTAACTCTTCAATCATTCAATTCGTGTTTCGTCATCCATGTAGTCAAGGGTAAAAGTCAAAACCAAAAGTAATACCAAATGTGGTTAATTACTAAAAAGAAATTTAAACAAGTGGAATTTTGAGAAATTAGAAATTAAAAGACCAGAATTAAAATTAAAAATTAATAAATAAGAGTAGAAAAAAAATTTTCAGAAAACCAAAGTAATTTAGAAACTCTTGCCTACAGAAACTTCCCCGACACGTAACTTTATTCTTTTAAGGCAAATAAAGAGAAAATAATATATAAGTAAAATAATGAATGAACTGAATAATAATATATGTGAATATAAATAAAATAAAATGAAAGAAAAAGTAAATGATGCAAAAATCTGCATAATGATGCGAGCATAGCATTTCTAACAGAATAAAGAAAAACCTAATGACTCTACAAACATATAAACTTTTTATTTCTATTTAAGGAAGAAGTTTGGCTAGATTAATAGCGGTTTTTAAAGCTGCTAAATTCGCACGTATTTCATATGAGATTTGAAACAGGTTTTCAAATTATTGCAAAACGCTTTTAACTCTTAAGAATTTTTTTATAAGCACTAGCCAAAATTAAAATCTGCATTGGATTTTGCATTGCACGCGATTAGTCTTAGTCCAAAAAGCTTTTAGAATCATTAGGTTATACCGATGAATGGACATGAAAAATGTACAATGCTCTTATCGGGATTCGAACTTTCGACCTCCCGAATACGAGCCTAGTGTGCTTCCAGTTACATCACGAAGGCATACAGAAAGGAGAAAGAAAACACCTTACATACTTCCCATTTACCCTGTTATCGAATCCTGCAGGTGAGGAGTAATGGTCCACCACCGTTTTAGTTCGGGCATCATTGTAATATAATTTTTTACGATTTTTCGATGCCAGGAAACTGAAGGAATGTGCAATGCTCTTGCAAGGATTCGAACTCTGGACCTCCCAAATACGCATTGAGTGTGCTTCTAGTTACACTGTGACGGCATGCGGAAAGGAGACAGAAAAGTACCTTATAAACTTCACACCTTAATTTTTTTACTTCGGCCAAAAGAAGAAGAAGAAGAAAAAAAAAAAAAAAAAGTAACGTCCAGACGATGAAAACTTTACTTCAAATTAAGTTCGTTTTTATTAAGAAACTTAAAATAATTTTTCTTTTTATGCATTACACAATGTTTTTTCTTAAGCAGTCAAAATTAATAGATTTGTAATGAAAAAAGCAAACACTTAATTACATTTCCTATCTCTGAGATACAACATAACTAATTACCTCAGGAATTAAAAAAAAACTGATGAAAAAATAAATCTAATGTTCCGAAATGCATATTCAAGAAAAAAAGTTTCACAATGGAATAGGCAGAATTAAAAGTCATTCACAATTAATTGCCAATCGTGCACGACATTTGAAAAAGAAATTTGTACAGTTTAATGCCAAATATTTATCATTATTATAACAAAAGCAAACGAAAGCATTGTTTCCATTGAGCTAAGAATAATGATTTACATGCTTGTTAAAGTAAATTATTTCTTCTGGCAATAAATATATTTGCATCTTTTGCATTAGAATGGCATATTTTATTTTTTATTGTTTTTATTCTTCTTTATTTATAATTAGTTATAGATGTCTTGCATATCTACACTTAAATCATATGCATGAAATATGGAACACATATTTTAATATTATACTAAATTACCATAAAACTACTAATAAAAAATAAATAAATTCTAATTTACCATAAAATTTAATTTCGTTTACATAGATGGTAATAAAAGAGCTATCAGCCTAACCTTAAAACAGTGCGTTTAAGACTCATGCTTGCAGTTAATGATGATATCCGATAAGGCAAGCTTTTAGACTGCGATAATTTCAATCGTATGGCATTTTTAGTAAAAATATACGAAATCAAAATTATTGTACACTTTCCTCTAAATCTGTACTAGGAAATTATGTATTTTCTATACCAAAATTAATATAGAAAGTCTTCCTTAAATGAACAACGTATCACAAATAAAAGTTTTTTGGACGTGTATATGCAGTTATTCTCAGATATAGCAGAGTAGAATTATATATATAGCAGAGTATTTTAGATGCCTGAAAATTAGAGTATCAGCATAAATTCCAGATTGACATTTGTAGATATGCTAAAATTGGAAATTTTGTACCTAACGGAATTAAATTTATACACAGTCCTTTTAAATTTCCTTGTATGAATCATTTTTCCCTTTCATCGGCTAAAAATGACTTAAGCCAAGTAATTTCAGCTTTTTCCTTGGAGCGAATTTTATATATTATGCTACTGGTTCCTTTTCCAGATATTTAATAAGATCCAAAACAACTCGCTAATTCAGAACTTTGCTTATACGGGGCGCATTTTAAAACTTAAATTTGAACATTTCTGTTAAAAGATATGATACAACCAAAACTGTCATTATCTGAAAACTGCTCTTATTTCGTTCATTTCCAAAACTCAAATCACAAGCTTACAACAAGCTGATCAAGACATGGTTGGTCGGTGATCCTTTTGGAAACTTTTAATAGAAGAGAAGCTTCGTAAAAGTATTCCAAAAAATCGATTACATTTCCACAAAAATCGAAATATAAAATTTATTCACTACTGTTTCAAAACATTAATTTTTATAAAACATATATTATGAACGAATGTGAAACAAAATCCTAGATTTAAAACTGGCATATGCCTCTTAAAAGGAGTTGGGGATGCATTTTTCTTAAACGAGGATTTGTATGTTTGCCGCCATGAATAGAATTAAATTTCTGAAATTTTATTTGGAATATTTAGAATCTATATAACCTGCTATGATAGAAAATATTTCGCAAAGCATAGCTTTCCTGTAAAAAGTTTTCTTTTCACTTCTTTCTGTCTGTAAAGAGTTTTTAAGGTTTACTCTTTTGAATGCTTTTGCGTAATAAGTTGAACAAAATATTTCTTTCCCGATTTATATATACAGAGGTACAAAACCATCACATTTTTTATAATGAATAATTTTTGAAAGTGGATACAAGCATTCAAATTTTTAGACCTAAAATTTAGAAGCATAATGTTTTAAAAAAGGCTCAAAAACCTTTGAAAAGTCTATACATTTAATAAATATATCATACATGTTCATAAATATCCCACACGCATGAAATACGATAATGAATATATTGCTGCTTTCCACGAGTTCGTGGAAAAATTCGTAATACAAAATAGAGTCGTAATACAAAATAGAGTCATCCAATAGACTAGTCACTAGTCCTAGACTAGTAAAAATAGAGTCCTTTTATGCTTCCAGGCTATGTCTTAAAAAGTAAATTTTTTTTTTCTTTTTTTAGTGGCATACTCACATGTGATATTGAGCACTCTTACGTCATCTAATTTGCTGTCATATAACTTTGGATTCTGGGCTCGACAAATGAGTGGGAGACCGTGGTGCTGAGATTTAGGCAGGAATCGGAGGACAGAGGATGTGACGTTATCGTGGACGGTTTCGATGTGATCAGTGAGGGCACTGCCGTTTAGCAACCAAGAAAGCTTCGCCGATGGTCTTGAGCCTTCCGATTCACACGCTAAATCTACTCTTCTACCTGCAGCTCTTGGTAACGGCCTACTTGTGATTCTCACTGTCAGAGGGTATACTACAGAAGACAGAAAAACACTTTTACGAAATACAGCATGTAAATATTTTGTATATGTTGAACATGATAAAAATATATAAATATATTTAAATGTATAAATAAAATAAAACTATATTTAAATATGTATATAAGAAAATTCTCCCATTTGAAAGCGTATTCCTTAAGGCAGGAATGTGAAATTCAAATTGCAGGACAACCGCATGCACGTTTTGAAAGCACCCGATGGACAGAATTTTTTTTCTTAAATGAAAATGTTTTTCCAATGCCACTAAAGTTCGAATGTTATTTATTAAACATTTATGAAAACATACATAAATAGTGATAGTAACGATGGAAAGGGAAAATCCGAGTTTATATTTGCTTTTTGTCTAAAATTTAAAAGTTGGTATCTGCAAGAAATGTTTGATGGTTACACTTTGTAATTCATGATTGATAATAATGAGAACCGTTGACTGGATATAAGAAAGTCATTACCATACTAAGAATGTCCTCCACCATTTATAGTTTTGAACTTGTTTTGCTCCTTGCATCCCTTTCACCATTGCTAAAAATTAAATTTCTGTTAAGTGGGTAACAATGAGCAGTTATCCAAGATTTGTTCAATTCTACTTTTCGAGCATAAATGGTTATTACTCTTCGTATTTTTTACAAATATATTTTTTGCTGCGCTAGAAGAAGGATTTGTATCTGAGCATCTCAAAAGCTGATGGCATTTCTTCAAAATCGACGTTAAATTAAGACTACGTTTTGCTTACTTTTAAAATATCTACATTTTTTATGTCCTCGTGCTTTAAAAGTGTCTCGCTAACTATCCATACTCTTTTAAGAATTTCTTTAAATAAATCGTTTCGCTTAAAGAAGTTCCTAACAATCTATCCTTGAAAGATTTTTGAACGGAAATTTATCGTACTGTAATAAAACTCTTTTGCAGAATATAAGTGTCGGATTTAAAAAAATAGCGTAGAAGTCTTGAGACTCACAGATGAAAGAATTTGGAAATTTCTATGTAGATAAAAAATGTTTATAATGTGGAAATTGTTTTAAGTCTCTAAAAGTGAATTACCTAGTAGAAGGAGATGCTGTAGCAGAGTTTGATGCACAAGATATAAGAAGCGAAGTAATATACTAGTATTGAAAATGAAGCTGATAGCGATAATGTAAAATCGAAGATACATATTTTAGACAGCAATTTAGGTACGCATTATATTGTGGCAAAAGTGGAAAATCTGTGAGCCTCGCTCATAGGGAAATTCTTTGTGGACGTTATTTTATATAACGGTTTAGAATTCTTTAAAAATATTCTATTTAGTGTTCTCACTAAGATTATTGTAAATCAATATAACTATTATTCAATATTCTATGTTATTGAAATATAGGGAAATGTACTTGTAATTTCAAAAAATAAAATTTAAAATAGATAAAAATAATTCTTAATAAAATTGTTAAAATAATTTTTATCAATTAAATTTTATATGAAAGTTATAAATTATATATTTACATTTATATTATTCATGCATCTATTAAAATAAGTATAGTCGGATATATTATATTCATCCAGAGCAGTAGTTTCCAAACTTACTATGCCCATGGCCCCCTTCTCTTAAAGAAAAGAAATGGCCATGAACCCCCAAGTGGAATAACACTACATGACTGTATAATAGAAGAATTAAACATTTAAGTCCGATGTCTTGAATGGTAAATGGTGACAGAAAAATAAAATATAAATAAAGCATTTTGGTACTTATTTATTGATATTACGTTAATAATTTTTTTTAAATACAGAGAGATTTTTTTTTTATTCAATGAGATTGGGGAGCCTAATGGGATGATATGAGGTTATATGAGTTTGGGGGCTATGTTTATGAGTAACATTCGTATGGCTCAATGAGCGTTAATTTCCACTCGGTTTCCTTTCTTCGTGATGAGGCTCACAGCTACATTAAGTCAACGTTCTACTAAATAAGAAGAGAAAGGAATAAGCAACATCGCTACGACCCATAATGCAGGACATAAAATTAGTACCTGTTTTTGTAACCGGAACCTGTGGTATCCATGTTCACACATTTAGTTTCAACTCTTCATTTATGGTCAATTCAAACAATTGCACCTGTATTTGTATGGGTTTATCTGAGTTTGTTGGCCTACGTGCAAAATGGTACAACACCCAACCTAGAACAACCAAGTGAAGAATATCTTCAAATCTAACGAAGAGCCCTGTTCAGCATAAGCAAGCAAATCTTTATCTCTTCTCCAACTTTGAAAGATTTGGAAACTGAGAGCATTCTCTGCTTCCAAAGTTTGCTTTGCATAGAAAACGTTTGGCAATAAATGCAGATATTATATACTAACACTAACAGAAGTTTTCAAGCAACACTGCGATTCTAAGTTAACTTTCCTTCCACATTGCTGGATATAAGTCAAAGATAATGTTGCATGTAGCAAGCATATCAACAAAATAATACTTAATATTAAATTTAATAAGATATTGTAGCACGGAGCAAGCTAATAAACAAAACAAAATTCAACATTAGCAAAATTTCCTCAGGAGTTTTAAACCATATTTTACCAATAATCGAAGAAATTAAAATTTTTGTTTGAAATTTCTAATTTTGTTTTATAAATAGGTAAGAAAAGACAATAAATTGAAAAGTATACGAAACTTTTATTTTCTTTGAGTTTACAGGCTGTCATATATATAGGACGATGGTCAAATCTATTGCTGGGAAGTCACAGGGCAATATTTTCTTTCAAGCACATACGTTTGAATGGAATGTTGAAAAACCGCTCGAACATTAGCCAATAATAGATTATTTAAAAATTTTTGTTGGTTGCCTTGTACAATTTTTAGATTGATAAGGAAGTTGACGTCCATCAGGGATTGTCAAAAGACAATCACATGATCAGTTTACATTTTCAAGAAGTCCGGAGTTCTCTGCTGCGCACATAATGTTTTGCCTTGAATGTTCTTGGGTATTGATAATACCCAAATGGCTGACTCCTATAGCCCGTCGATATTCTAGAAGATTAAGAGCTTCGGTTTCTTTCATACATATTTTACAATCATGCCGAACGAAACAGCTCACCATTCTTTTATCTATGCTTAGATATTCGTAAAATACACCTAATTGTTGTAAAGCATCATTCAGTAAATCATAAAGTGGACGTACTTTGTAATAGCTGTCCGAATCAATGGTGCTATTGTCAATGAAATGAATGTAGCGCTTGATTTCAAAATATCTGTTTCGTGGCATTTCTCGATGAAATAGTAAAGTTCCTGCGTCTAGCGCGTTTTTCCAGTACATTTTTTCACGTGGCAAAATGTGGCAGTTACTTTAAAAATGTATACCTAAGAATTGCTTAAGTTCATACATTTTTACTTCCTTGTACGAAGTAAAAAGGAAGTATTGTAATCGCGAAAGGTTCAGGCAGCATATTTCAACGAAAATATCCATTTTGACCGCTTTCTAAAGCAATTTAACGATGTTTTTGCGTGATATCTGTAAGTAAGGACAGAATAAAAGACTCTTTTCCTCCAAAAAAATTATAAAACTGCTTTAAAATGAATTCTGAAGAGAACTTTTCGTGGCGTCTGTCCGAACGTATGTACGTACGTACGTATCTCGCATAACTCAAAAACGAGTAGCCTCAGAACGTTGAAATTTTGTATATAGGACTACCATAACATGTAGATGTGCGCCTCGTATTTTGGTTGCAATCGGCAGCACCAAACGTATATAAATATATTGATATATATATCCACTCTGTTACCCGGCTCAGTGATCACAGTTTCTTTACTCTTATGTGCTTGTAAATTCTACATTTCTTGCTTTAAAAATGATTCGGTTAAGGTTTTTATGCCTTTAGTAAATCTGTATGCAATATGTTTAGAATTATCAATAATTTTAAAGTTGCTTAATTGCCGCTAAGCCTTTTTTTTAATGGCGGCCATTAATATTTACATTTGAAACAGGAGACTAGTGAATTTGTTGCCAATCTAGAGAAACTTAGCTTCCCAACAACAAAGATAAAGCATTCATTTATTATTGCCAATTAAATCATGCTTAATTCTTTCTGGAATTTTTTCGAGGAAACAAGTGTTTGAGATTTACTTCGTAATTTTTAATACAGGTAGTTTGAGTTTTTATGTATTTTTGCCTTGTCGCGAAGTGAGAACTGAATTAATTGAATGAGAAATACTCAAGCGTCTGTGAAAAACTGTTTCATTTTTGTTTTGTTTGCTTAATTTCTTTTATACATCGTTCTAGCTTTATTATAGTATTTGAATAGAACATGTGGCAACGATTAGACAATTCTTAAGTTGATATAGGTTTTGTGCATTCTGAGTTATAACATGAACGAAATATAATACTGTTAAGTGAATTTAGCGCCAGAGTGTCTCTATGGTAAACAGAATGAATTTTAAAGGATGCATTTATTCTATTGTGGTTTATGCGCTGTCGGCGAAGTAGATTTAATTCAATCCAGTAAGTTAAACGAAATGCAAGAAAAAATGCGTATAATTTAATATTCCGTACAAGAAAGTCATGTGGTATACACATCAGATTTTTTCAATAAAAAATTATGATTAATTTTCTGCTCAGCGTATGTGTTACTCTTGATAACAGCTTTGTCTATCATTTTTTTCAGCGACATACTCTTCTGTAGGAGATTTTCCAGAAACAAAATCAGTTGGAGACATTAGAATTTTGAGAAAATATTTCTGAAGCATGGCGAATATTTAGGAACGCAATCTGTCCAATCAAGGTTTGACACGCATATTTCATAATCTCCATTTCCTGCTAAAATTTCCACAGTTTCTGCTGTTTCTACAGTTACTGCTGCGTTTTCGTCACAAATAGCTTGGCTGTGCTTAGTGCAATCATCGTCTATCTCTTCATTGTCACTGACTGCATCTGGATCAAGTGGTGTTACTACCATTTCTGGTTCAGTATCTTCATCATCTAATGTGATAAAAGATTCGAAAGCTTCTTCAGCTGTTAAAAATTTTCGACTCATTTTGGATGCGTAAAATAAATATACCTTACAAAATAAACATTCACAAAAGTAAATTTCTTTCATACAAAGAAAACGTGTGAAACAGCTTTCAGATGGTAAATATAATTCTTTACAGAAGGGGACGCAGGACAAGAAACAGATGATCGCAACATTTTACAGCGAGGGGGTGAAACAGACGTAAACATTTCACTCCAAAACGATGTTACGTTTAAACGTCATATAATAGTCGATTTTACCTTTGTCCTGTATATAGGACGCTCTAAAAATAAAGCAAAATAAGGATCTATAACATATTATTATTTCGGATATTTTGTCATTCACATTAATGAAGACCTATTTTATATGAAATAAATCCACACTTTTTACTTTACCCTTTTGTTCCCTTTTGTATGCGTTCAAAAGAAATAAAGTGCAAAAATCAAAATTAGTCCTTTTTGTATGTTTTAAAAGAAACTGATTTGTAAAAGTAAAAATTTAAAAGAAAATAACTAATATAACAAGCTACTTTCTAGCAATAATACAATGTGAAAGAAATAGTTTAAACATTAGCACTTTTTTGTACTTGCATCAAGTAGGTAATATCATGTATATAAGACAATAATAAAATATGGGTTAAGGAAGATTTTAAAAGGAACTATTCAAATTTGAAAGATTTTAAAGAGACGATAATGAAAATTATAAATACGAGCAAAGATAGAATTGGAATTCGGCACTAAGATTTTAGACCTTTTGTTTTGTTTTTTTCCTTATATTTATTTTTTTCTGGCCAGTGCCATTTTTTGTTCATACGGCCGGCTTGTGCCAGCTAGGAGGATAGGGGCTGTGCCCTTATAATGATAATGATATTATATTGTCCGTAATCTTCTACAGATCTCCAATAGTCCCTGTGCTCACACTCTTTTATGCATTCCAGGGGCATCAAACACACAAAAGTTAGAATATTTCGGCGGCCATAATATCATCTAAATGATACTTGTTATTTTTATTATTATGTAAATATATATATTAAGCAAGTAAAACCTCTTTTTTGCACGTTGGCCCGTCCTCCCTCCCCCCAAAAAACGTTGTGTGGTATTTCTTTACGAAATTGAATTTAATAGTAAATTATCTGTTTGTAAAATTGCCTCATCATCCATTCCTGATCGAAATTATCTTATTTGGTAACTTGGTTTTCTCCTGTTCACACTTTCGAGAAGCACTAGCTACTCAAACAACCAATATTTTAGCTAGGAATTTTAAATGCTACTTACGGTACATATCTAAGACAATGGTCCTCGATACTGGTGAGGTAAGCATGGTATTCTGCGCTTTACAATGAAATGTAGCAAAGAGTTCCAATCGGCTGAGGTTGTTCAACTTCATCTCATTGATAACACCAGTTTGGGTTTTTTGAAATGTGTTATCCCACAGTTTATTGTCCTTCCACCAGGTGACATTAGGTGTAGGGAAACCTAAGAAAAATAACAAGAATGATACATACGTCTTCAAACAAACTATAATCTTACACGTTGCCTTACAAAGCGTAAAAAAATTATGAATGGTTACACTTTAATACATTCTCGGTTAATATACGTTGCTAATGCGTTTAAACTTCGCTGAGAGTTTTAAAAGCATTATTATATTTTTAATTACATATAATTCTCAGGTTTTATTAAAACTAATTATCTTGTTTGTTCTTTCAATGAAAGCATAATCTAAATAATTTTGTGCATACATTTTGAACGTTTTAGATATAGGATATTATACAACGTATTCGGATCATAGAATTTCGTAAAATTATTTACTGTAGCTGTATAAAATTCAAATGATTCTTCAAGAAGTGCAAACTGAGAAAATGGCTCTGGGAGATACTTAGTTTCGTTATGAAGCAGGACTACTTTCAGGTTTCCTTCCTAGAGCACTATGAACTGTGTCCGTATTTTTAAGTTTACCTTGAATATCTCGAAGTTTCAAATAATGAATTAACATCACTGCAGTATAGAAAATTATCCTTCTCCGAAAGGAGCATTTTGAAGTTCACTTATGCTATCTGTGATGAAAATTACAAGATGTTTGTTTCTTTTTTAGGAGATTCATCCATTAAATTTGACTTCATTATTTCAGAATAGCAGTTTATAAATCAAAACTTCGCATAATATTACCTAATCATGACTGATTATAGACAGTGCATAAATGATTTGAAAATGTCATTCAAGCTGATGTTTGATGTTGCATGATAAAGTCAGGGAAACATTTTGTTAAAAATGTGATGCCTGATGAACAGATTCTGATTTCAAAATCAAAATCAGTGTTACAAAGTGCGTGATATCAATTAAAATATATTTTTATGTGACAAAAGCATACTTGATAAATATACTTTATCATCAGACTTTGATTCGTCGAATGGAATTGCTCGAAACCTCACGACGTTGCCTTTAGTTGTGTGTAAAGAGGGATGGGGAAATGTAAATGGCTTTGCCTGTCTTCGCTCTAGTTAGATTTTGGATTTATATTGTGATAGTATAAAATTAATTGGAAGTAAAATGGAAGTATACATCTTTTGTCTTTTCATTGTAATAAAGGTACCAGAGCAGTATTATTTAAATTACTCTAAGCACTAATACTGATATTTGCATGATTTTCGGGATTTCACACTTCTTTATGCATTCTTAATAAAACTACGGGTATTTTAGACAATAGTTTAGGGACATTTTGACTTGAGTACTTCTGGGTATGCGTGCGATGTCAATTTTGAGAAATGTAAAATGGCTTTCGCTTAGAAAAGTGCATATGTCCGGTGACTATCAGTGATATATTTTAATTCATTGATGATACAGACATAAATTTAAATGAACATCATGTAAAAAGAAGTTATGAAATTGTCAAACTGCTTAGTGGCAGGATGTCCGCGGAAATGCGTATCGAAAGATAAATGGAATATGTGAAATGTTTACAAGAACAATTTCTGAATTTACCAGAGAACTATCATGGGGAGTAGAAATCCCAAAATTAACACTGCATCAGGGTGCTCCCGCAGTAAGTTAACAAAATTTACAAAAATTAAAAATTTGAAAGTAAAATTACTTAGTGCAATCCACTCAGAAGCTTGAATTAGGTTGCAACACTGAATTGTTATCGACATGTTCCAACTCATGAAGATGTGTTTCAATATATTCAAAATTTTGAATGTTGCACGTTTCTGGATGAAACAATCTTTCTGTGCTTTAATAAAATCACCCTAATACTTAGCATACTTGAAGCTTAACCAACACGTAATGCACTGCAGCATCGGTAATATTCTAATGAAATGGAATGTAAATTGTAAGAATAATGTATTTGAAGAACCGATAATTTATCCTGTTTTAATTGCTTGAAGAAGCAATTACAGAATGTAGTAATTTACATACATTAGCTGTTTCCAGTTTTCTGATTTTTAAAAAACATACTTTTTTTTTGGCAAAATACAGATTCTAAGACTGTTGCCAATATTAAGGTAGAACATTTTTTAATTTAGATTTCAAATTATAAAAGTGATAAACGGAGAAATGTGAGAACAATACCCATAATATAAAGCAATTTTTATCATTATAACTTTTGGCAATAACGCATCTGCTTGATACAGTTTGCATTGTACTGATAATTTTTATATATACTTATATATTTAAAGTAGTTTATAAAAGACACTTATAATGCCTTATGTACTTTAGAATAAAAGTTTACCTAAATACTATAGACTAAAGTTTAAAGATATATAATAATACCATCCCAAATTTTGTTTATATAAGTAATTTTTTTGAAATTATGTGTACATTTGTAGCATTTTTCTATAACGTAATGTATGAAGTGTTTGAAAGAGACGAAGCTCTGCCGACAGAATAAAGATACAGGGCAGGTCAATAACATCTCGTCAATGGCTATCTCATTAAACTGGCTGGCAATGGTTTTGGCAACTAATTTTTGTTGCCAAATTTGGCGAGAAATAATCCAAAGACCTCAAATTTGGCGACTATTTTGGTCAGTTCCTGTAAAATTATAATTGGTATTATGATTGAATAAATGTAATTGATCCTATCACGTAACTGTAACCGCATCCGGCCCTCATATGCCTTCCAGTAATTTCGAGAAGTGGAGATTTCTCGACGGCGAGCGATTTAGGAGTATTGAGATATCCGTGAAAGCTTCGCCTTTTAGATGAGCTTTGCATTGCGTTGTGTTTAACGTTCTCAGTAGTTTGGAGTGCAACTACTGACTGTGCTCTGTGATACGGAGAACAGCTATACGAATGCTTTTGTGAAAAGTTCAAGAGCTGTCAAGTGTTTGTTTTGGTAAAAATAAATTTTATCAAGCTATCATCGGTTTGTGTGCATTCAATCTATTCCGAACACATACACACTCAACAATACATAGAATATTTTAAGCTTTTTTGAAAGGAGATTTGTCAGGATTTGTGTTTCTCTTGATTTGCGTTGGAAACATGAATGGTCCTGAATAGGAACAGGGAGCTTACTCAAGCTATGTTCAAGATTTGTGTGTAACAGACGACACAAGCAGGAAGGGTATACGAAACCCTTTATTTTCTATACTTTTACAAGTACTCCCGAACTTAGGGATACAAAGACCAACCACTTGTGGTCTGAACGTAAGAATATAAAACTACTAACTAAAACTCTAGCTAAAAGCTAACTTTGAATTAGTATACAAATGCCTAGCACTAAGACTGGCCTTTATTTAAAAGGGTACGTATGTAGAACGCCGAGCTTCTGAAACTACAATACGTTTTCAAGTACCAAGAGGGCTAAAACTCTGGCCTTAAAGGCAACCAGCAACCGAGCGAAACTCGTAAAACTGCAGTGGCTAGCGGCTTGCTTTCTAAATCTCCTTCTCTCTCCCTAAATCTTGGCAAAAAGCCACAACTTAAGTACTTGGGAGTTAGTAAGACAATTTGCATAAACAAGTTAAAGCATTTAATTCTGGCCGGAAGTAGAAAATAAGAAGTGATAGTACAGTTTTAAAATAAAATAAACGTTAGTAAAACTTAGGATTCTTACAGATTTAATAAAAGTGTAAAAAAAAAACTATATTATATGCAATCTATGTGTGCAAGTCTATAAAAAATCTTTCTTTATTCTTTCCTTATTATTGTTATTTTTTATATGAATACATGGAATAATAAATTCGAAACAAAATTATCTCAAATAGGCATCAATTTAAGTCTGGTTATTGTACAAAATCAACCAGAACTATACCAGTATGTTATTTCCAGGAAAACATTTCTTAAAGTGATGAGAAATGTATCATTTAAACTGAGTAAAGAGGAAAAAAAATAAACTTTTTGTGTAAAAATTGCTTGAGATGAGTAGACCATCCAGTTTTTGAAGCAAGAAATATGAGTGTAATATTTCAAATGATCATTATTATTCAAGTACATACCACGATAAATAAAGGCTGTTTCGCTTGCATATGAATGATTCTTCTAAACTCATTAAAAACACGAAATTTCCATTCAAAATGAGAGAAAAAAATTCATCGGAAATGGAAAATAAAACTAGAACTCATTTATATGACTGATCGTTTTCATTGCTAGCAAACCACTCACCATCATGAAGTTAAAGAAGGACATGATATTTTTTCCGCGAGTGTTGTTAAATTTGTTTATTAGAATTCGGAAAAGGAAAGAACATAAATTGATTGTGTGTTATTTTAATTTTCTGTTGTAAGGAAATTGTTTAGTGATGTATGGCAGTAATTAATTGCAAATGGCAAACTCCTCTGAATTTGTTCGGCCTTATTTACATAATAACGGTGATTTAAGAGCTACCTATCATTGTGATGATATAAGAGAAGTACATTTTGTTCGTAGGATAGAAAACTTGAAGATTCAGTTCCTTTCTTTTACTTGTTTTGGTGTACATCTATCTAAAAATAACTCCAAAAATATTAATTAAGGTATTTGCCATTTTTATTTCATTATCATCATGTATAAGCTTTGCCTAAAATAAGCATTTATGAAAAGGGCATTTGGAGTACTGATTTTTATTAAAAGATTAAATAATCAATATGAGATAATTTAAGCAATTTTTAGTTTGATTGTTTCACTGATGCTTTATCACTTATATTATTACTTAATTGATGCTTAATCACTTATATTATTACTTAACTGATGCTTAATCACTTACATGTATCATAAGGATTACTGATTTTGGATTTCAAAATTTTTAATCTGATTTGAATGAATCTAAAAAAGTCTTGTCACTTCAACTTTTTTTATTTAAGTGAATGAATCTAATAATATACACGTTTAGACTGTAAAGGGGAGAGGGTCGATGAAATGAAAATGACCATAGTTGTTGAAAATAATGCCACCATTTTGATATTAACCATAGTTTAAGTATAATTTGTTTAGTGTGTAAGCAGAATTCAGGATCCTTATACATTGATACAAAGTTTATATACATAGTTTTGATTATATACA